CAGGACACAAGAAAGGTTCAGTACTTTTTGCTCCCAATCCATTTAAAACAGGAAATCCTTCATATCTCCCATGGAATTCCAAGTTATGCTGAAGCAAGAGTAGGTCCATCCCTTTTAAAGGAGTAGCACAAATTTAGGCACAGAGAATCATTACATGGAGACCAGTCCTACACACAAAACTAATATCCTACACACAAAAATTAATATCCTACACACAAGATAAAATGGGATCATCTTCTGGAGTTCTGTGGCCACAGGAAGATAATCAGAGAGTGCAGAATGACACATTTGCTCCCTGCTTCACCACCCCAGGGATACAGGAGCAAATCTTATCTTCTTCCTCTTGTTCAAATTATTCCACCTCAAAGGGCTGAAGAAGTAAGCACGAGTAGGGATCTCTATGCTTAGGTGTTCCTAGGAACAGTTCATCCCTTTGTCCTTCAACAAAAAGAAAGAGGGTGTTTCACAAAACACAGCAGGAGCTTTTTGTGGATCTGCTCTCGTGCTGAGCCATTCAGCAGAAGTCTCAATCTTCTCTGAGGYCACAGAATCACAGCATGAAYGAGGTTGGAAAAGAYCTCTGAGATYATCAAGTCCARTCTATGACTGAACACCACCTTGTCAGAATGCCACACCTTAAACCTTTCCTTAAACAGCTCCAGGGAAGGTGAYTCCAACACCTCCCTGGGCYSTCCATTCCAAAATCCAATCMCCTTCTCCMTGAAGAAATTCTTCTCMATGTCTAACMTAAAATAAACCMCACTGGGAGCATGAATGGAATAGGGAAAAACTGAGTCCCTCTTATGAAACGGGGCACTAAACTGTAGGTTTGAATCCAAAGACTAGGTTTAGACCACATCAGATGTGTTTGGTTTAGGAAATCACAAACTGTGTCCTCTGAGGCAGCGTGGTGAACAGCCAACACATGGCACTTGGCTGTCCCCACTTCATTCCAGCATTTCATGGACAATCTTTCAAACTGGGCATGTGGCTGGAGCCTTGRGGATCCCTGGGAATTAACTGGAATTATGCTGCAAAAAAATCAGCATCAGAAGCTTAAGCCTCCTCTCACTGATTTTATACTGACATCACCCCACTGACTTTACAGAATTCTGGAGGGGCCTTTTTTAACCATGGAAGTCATAGGAGAGCCATAACCTTGGATATAATTTCCCATGCTGGCACAAATCAAAAATTGCAGAAGGAGTTCACTAATTATGAATAAGCCAAAAAGGCTATCTATTCTCACCAAAAGGAGAATAGAACTCTTTTTTTTGCCCAAAAAAGAGTTGTACTTTGTAATACTTTGCCCTGAGTTATGGACTGCTATCACCCCCAAGTTAGTGCACAGAGCAGTAAATACCTCTCCTAATTCTGGAAATGGAGAGTAATTTGTGTTGTTGCTCTTAGCTCAGACTCTATACCCACCAAGATGTGTTTTGTGTTTCCTTCAGCCTTTCCTGAGCTAAGCTCTCCTGAATGTTTCCATCCAGTTGGAGACACTGAGGTCAGCCCCAGGGAATTTGGGGGAGTTTAAGTGCATCAGACACACGAAATTCAACCCCAGTGACAACCAGGTCTGTAAGACTCTCTGACTTTTAACTGGAGTTCTCTCCATGTGCTAGGATTTGGAATGAACCAAGAGACAGGTGTGAACATCTGTAAGTGAGCATTCTAYAGAGGGCTGCAGGGTGAATTTACAATTCACAATTTACAATTAATTGTGCCAGCTGGCAGCTAGCACAGCTCAAGCCACTCTGTTGCAATGAAATAATCRGGAGGAAGATCTGAATATTCTTCTGGTATTCAAACTGGGAGCTTGGTTTTGTTCAAACACCAGCTCCAGCGGGCTGCAACTTTGCTAAACTCAAAGACATTGTTTTTATTTTATATTGGTGTGAGCAGAGGRGAAGCAGGCAATAGCTGCTGAAGCACCAACATGATATAAAATACCTGTGAACACTGAGAGATAGAAATTGGGGCTGGTACCACGTCTTGTGTATGTAAAACAGAAGGATTGCTGAGGAAGATAAACTACCCATAGTTTCTTGTAGTGACAAAATAAGATTATTTGTCTCTCTCTGTTGAGAGATGTCTTATATAAAAACCCACATTCTGAATTCAAGGTCCAGCCACAGGGAAATGCAGATCCCCATGACCTGGCTTCCTTTCAGAGTTAGGAGATCTTCTCAGACTATTGCCCCAGGGACTCTGACTCTCTTTCACTGTTAGGTTACAATCCTACAATCTGGATGCAGCAATTAGGGATATGGTTCAGGGTGATTATGGCAGTGCTAGCTTGACTGTTGTAGATGATTTTTAAGGTGTCTTCCTATCCTGATGATTTTGTAATTTGTGCCACTTTAGGCYGAAGTTAAGCAGCTATTAAAGCAGTTTTATGGTTTTCTCTTGGAGTTCAGCCCATGAGAACTAATAATTCATAACATGCTCATCCATTGCTGACAACTAACAAAAGCGGGAGGAGATGTAACTGRGATTTCTAAACCTGCAGCCTTTCACTTAAATTTCAGYTGAGACTGTCTCAGGTCAAAATRTYCCTTATTGTTTTTATGGGAACCCATGAATTTGCCCTTTCTGACCTGYTTAACTCTACAAGATCCTTCCTCTTCCTCTCTGCTCGAAGCAGGGCCCTTCCCTTGGAAGTGAACATCCCCAAAATTCCTGCTGACTGCAGATTTAKTATCACTCCACCTCTTTAATTCCCTCATTTTTCCAAATCTCTTCTAAACCCACCCATTTCCACTTTTGCTCCTTCCTTGTGTTCTCTTTTTCTGTTGTTTCCACCCATTTTTTCTGCTGTTCTGTGGAGTGATGTGTGGCCAGAAGAAAACACAAACATTTCAGTCTGTGTGAAGACAG